CTTAGGGTCTCACTAAGTTGCTCAGGCTCACCTTGGACTTGTGGTCCTCCTGCCTCAGCCTCCTTGTGCCTGGTGTTACCTAGCAGGCAGGCTCCTGACTCCTCAGTTGTATTAGCATGTGCACACGCTGGCTTGGTGTGATACAGTTTCCTTCTATAGACACCAGTTTGTTTTAGACATGTCTATTGTTGTCTTTTAAGACGTTGACATTTTGTTTCATTTTTATAAGTTTTATTTTATGTGTCTTAGTGTTTTGCCTACATATATATATCTGCTCACCACATGTGTGAAGTCCCTGCAGAGATTAGAAGAAGGTACCAGATCCCCTGGAACTAAAGTTACAGATGGCTGTGAGCTTCCATGTAGGTTCTGGAAACCAAACCGAAGTCCTCTGCAAAAGCAGCCAGTGCTCTTAACCACTGGGCCATCTCTCTCTAGCTCCATGATTTTTCCTTTAAAAAAAATATAGAATTTTTTAGAATTAGGATTTTGTTAAGTATTTTTCTTAAACGAACCTCTCCACCGACACAAATAATCCCAGTCAGACCGAATTAAAAGACACCCATGTTTAATAGATGACCTTACTCCTGGGTGGCCCCGGGAAAACATGGAGAGGGGAAGAAAGAGAAGGGGAGACCACATGTTCATTCTCTGGGGGCAGTTTAAATAGCCTGTGGGAGTGGTCTTGACCTTCCTTAGGGAGGGGTCACCCTTTGGTGCTTCCTTGGAGGTGGAGTGTGGACTGAGGCAACTCCCAGGGGAGGGAGCTTAGGCCAGGAGCAGGGGTGAGGCCTCCAGGCAAACGATCCAGATGCTTTGTGGAAGGGGTGTTAGGGAGCTGAGGTGATGCTTCCCACCAAGCAGATTTCTCTTGACGTTTGCTCATGGGCAGTGGCGGGTTGAACTGTCTCTTGAGTACTGCTGGGGTCCTGCGCGTACGGTTGGATCCCGTCGTTGCTCCTTGCCTCCCTTAGGATAGAGGCAGGGGAATAGTTTCAGTGACGCCGGCTTGCATCTGTCTTCAGCCCACTTATCCACTAGGATGGAGCTAGTTAAGAGTCTCCAGAGAGACCGAATCCACACCACCCTTCCCAGCCTCCTTTCCCATAGCCCTCCCGGAAGTCAGTTTCCTGTGCTCACAGTGTTCGGGATTCATTGGCCATGCTGAATGAGAAACAAAGGCAGGAGTCGTTGGCTTGTGTAGGAAACTCTTATTACATAATGTAAAAGTCTGCTTATTAACAAGACCTCGTTTCAGGCATTGAGGTTCTCATTTTCATGGGAATAAAAAGAGAAGCAGGATTTGGTCCCTGCCCTGTGGCTGGTTTGCCCAATCTGTCAGGATGGAAGGAGCTGAGGGGGAGGAGCTCGGGCGAGCACACAGAGAGAGGCTCTGCACCCATTAGCTTCTTCTGAGCCTGAGAGCGTAGGTACCACCTGGTTGGTCACCTAACGGTACAAGGGAGGGTCTCTGCCATGTGAGACTGCACAGGTGGGTGACTTCTAGGAATGGAAGGGCTTCAGTGTGGTTTCTGTTCCAGGCTCCATCACGTGGACTTCACTCAGCTTCAAGATGGCAGTGGTAAGGCCAGGCGTATGGTGCACACCTTAGAGCCTAGCACTCAGGAGATAGAGGCAGGCGGGCAGACGGGTCTCTATGAGTCTGGCCATATAGAAAGACCCTGATCAAAATAAAATAGAAGAAAGACCCTGTCTCAACTGCCACCTACTCAAAAAAAAAAAAAAAAAAAAAAAGGTGTGTTTTGAAAGTGGCTATTTAAATGTTGACAAAGAGCCTCCTCCCTCTGCCGTTTCTGGGTAGTAGGTTCCTAGTGTGCTCTTTAAGAGCTGTAGTTTGACAGAAAAACCCTGTCTCGAAAAACAATAAAGCAAAAACAATACAAACAAAAAAGAAGAGCTTGGAACCTCGTGTCCTTAGTTTCTTGGTATGTCAGTGGTAGACTGTGCAAGGCCCGCTCCCAGCCCCTCTTCCCTCTCTCCCTCCTTTCTTTTTTCACTTTTTTGAGACAGGGTTTCTCTGTGTATCCCTGGCTATCCTGGAACTCGCTCTGTAGACCAGACTGGCCTTGAACTCACAGAGATCCGCCTGCCTCTGCCTCCCTAGTGCTGGGATGAGCCGCTGACACTGCCCGGCCCCAGCCCCATTTCTAGAGCAGGGCTTTCAGCATCGCTGGGAGCCGAGCATGGCAGCTTTTCCCTAAACCCCTCGCTCACTCAGTCGGGGCCTCCTGAGTTATGTCTGCGGAGTGATCTGAGCAGGTAAACAAACTCCCAGATGCTGTTTGTGGTGTCATGTGCACAGAGAGACAGTTCTGTGTGACATGTGAGATTCTGGCTGTCATGAAGCTCAGGGTGCATTTGAGTGGAGGAGAGAAAGAGCCCATGTGAAGCTAGACCTGTAAGCACTGCAGTGCCACGTGCCGGCTCCCTTCCTGCCAAGCCGTCCTCACATGACTCTCTGGGTTTCTGAACACGGGACTCATTGCTTTCAGCACTTCCTCCTCCCTCCGTTCCTCAGCAGGAGGAGGGCGGGCTGCCTTGTCCCTAAGGAGGACTTCACCAGCCGATAAGGACCTATGAGTCATTCTCCATTCTCTGACCCTTGGGATACGTTGCAGTTCCCTGTCTTTTCAGAACGTGCTATTCTTCGCTGCTGACTGTAGACAGAGCTCTCTGGGCCCTTGAACCAGTGAACCAAGGCCTGTCCTGTTGTCTGCACACCACTGCACCACCAGACTGGTGTCCTGGACTCTCTGCAGGGCTGCTCACTCCCTGTCTGCTCTCACATGGTGCCTTCTGACCACGCTTTCAGATGGAAATGACCTGCAGGTTCACAAAGAGCAAACATGATGATCCAGGAAAGCCAGGACTGAGTCGAGTTGTAGCCATAACCCAGGCAGAGGGGTTGATTCTACTGTATTCAGGGCTGAGATCACCAACATTCAGGTGGGTGGGCGGGGGGGGGTGGTGGTGAGTGGCCAGTGCTTTCCAGCATGCTGGTGCTTTGGGGCTGCACTTGGTTGCAGAAAGTCTAAGCAGCTAATGTGTTTTCATAACCAATGTCACACGTTTCCTCCTGAAATCTGCTTTTGGTTGTGGTTAATTAGAGACATTGCCATAACTCCCTCTCCCTATTTTTAGTTAAATCTTACAGAGGCTTGGCACCTACCAGTTTTGTGTGTTATCTGTAATACCTTCTTCATAGAGGGCAAAGACAACAGAGCAAGTGTGGTGTTTCCCGAGCCTGGTCATTACGTCCAGCAGTGTCTGTAGTTCTCCAGTCTCTGATGTAGCTACAAATATTCTCTGTTCCCTGGTCCCCCTGGACTGGGTTTTTTCCTCCCACCTGTTTCTGAAATGGATTAATTTAAGATCTAAGAGCTAGCTAGAGATACACCTGAACCATGGGCCAAACAGTGTTGTGATTAATATAGTTTCTGTGTGATAGATTGCTGCAGAGTCAGCGACATCTGGTACTTAGATACATTTTATAGAGTTCATAAGTGGTGTACAAATCTTTCTTTCCCTGAATTTTTGTTTGGAGATCATTGTTGATTCATAAGAGAGTAAAATAATACTATGATGAGCTCCTGTGAGCTCTTCAAACGTGTTTCCACTGTGGGAATGCGTTACAGGAATACATCAGCAGTGTTAGGTTCCACTTAATGTGCACGGGCAGCGTCACCCTGACAGCCACGCCTTCTTCTCCACTTCCTAAAGCCTCTCCCAACCTCTGGTTTTCCGTTTCTGTAAGTTTGTCATTTCACGAATGGTACAGGGTCATCCTTAGTTACATAGTTAGTTTGAGGCCAACCTGGGATATATGAGACCCCAGTCTCAACTCAAAGCAAACAGTTCAAGTGGATTCCTGTGGGTGTGGCTGTTTAGATTGTGGACAGTGTGTGTGCAACCCGTAGGGCTGTTCCTTTTCATGTGTGTGTGCTTCCTGGAGGACATGGTAGTTGCTGCTTTGAGCTTGTACGTATATGGCCCTATAGGGCTGCTTCTGGGTCATATGGTGGATTCATGTTCAGGGTTCAGTTTTGAGAAACATGTCTGCTCTCCAGATTGGTGGCATCAGTTCACGTTCCTACCAGCGGTGTCTGAAGGTTCTTCTCTCCATGGCTTTCTCAGTGTTTAGTGTGTGCTGTTTGTGTTTCTGCCACCTGATGGTGTGCGGCACAGTGGTGGTGCCTGTGTGGCTCTGTTTGTGTCTTCCAGCGACTGATCTCTCTGCTTCTCGTCTCTGTGTGAGGCTGGCTGCGTGTGTCCAAGCTCCTGATGACGGTGTCACTGCTTAGCCTAGTCTGGACTAAAACTCATAATCCTCCTGCCTCTACCCTTTAGATGTTGAGGTTCCTGGCATACAACATAATGCTTAGCTTTTGCTCATGTTCTGATTGGATTTTGATTATTGAGAGGATTTTTATTTTGTTTTAGATCATGGGAAATATTTAACAAAAAAAGAGCATCCTAATTTTTTCCTTCCTTAGAATTTCCACACTTGTCAAAAATGGTTTAGGCAGAACCTGAGATGCAGTTCAGTCACCTCTCAGGTGCTCAGCATGCGCTGACCTGGGCTCATCCTCTCCTGAAGGAAGAGGAGTGAGCTGGTGTGTCTGGGTCTGTCTGCCCACTGGTGTCTGTCTCCCAACAGCGCGCATAACCCTGATGCCGGGTGAGGGGATCCTCCCCATGTGTTGATTTTCAAAGTCATGTTAGCTATGATGGTTCTTTTGCCTTCCACATGGATTCGAAAGTCATCTTTCATTTAATAACTACAAAAAGAGCCTGCTGGGGCTTGGCACCGTGTTGAACTTGCATCCCCATATGGGCAGAATTGCCATCCTCACTCCACCCAGGCTTCTTTCCCCACTTCTGGAAGATCTGGTGTTGCTGCAGCTGGGAACAAAATGCTTCTGTCTAAGAGCAGCAGTGACAGCTGCCATGTCCTTTCTATCACTGCCGTTTGTCCACAGGCCTATGAGAGGAGGTTTCCTACATGTCCTTTGATTCCAATGTTTGTGGACAGTGACACCGTGAGCGAATTCAAGAGTGAGGATGGGGCTATTCATGTCATCGAGAGGCGCTGCAAGCTGGATATTGACGCTCCCAGGCTGTTGAAGAAGGTAGCTGGCGAAGGACACTTTAGGAGGCTGCGCCCCCAACAGACCGTGGACCCATGCTCACCCAGAGCTGTTAGTAAACACTTTCTCCTTGTCTCTTCTTAAAGATTGCAGGAGTCGATTATGTTTATTTTGTCCAGAAAAACTCCCTGAATTCTCGAGAACGCACTTTGCACATCGAGGCGCACAACGAGACGTTTTCTAACCGGGTCATCATCCATGAGCACTGCTGTTACACGGTGAGTCGTGACCCCAGCTCTCTGGAGCTCCGAGGCCGTGTGCAGACACTGTTGAAACAGGACGGCTCTTGGTGTTTTCACCAACTGCTGCTTCTCCTTTGGGATGAGCGGCACGGTTGAGGAGTGGTGTTGCATGCCGAGGGGAGGGCTGTATTGTTGTGATAGTCGGGCTGCTAGCTGATGCCATGACTGTTGTTTCTAAGGCAGGGACTCACTCTGTGCCCCTAACTGTCTTAAAAGTTGCCATGTAAACCAGACTAGCCTTAACTTGCCACTCTCTTCTTGCCTTGTCTCCTGAGTGCTGGGTTATAAGTGTGCACCATCGCACTCAACTGAGTGCCGGATTGTAAGTGTGCACCATTATACTCAACTGAGTGCCAGATTGTAAGTGTGCACTATCACACTCAGCTCTGGATTAGATTGTGTTTTCTGAAGCGGGTCTCACCAAGTAGCCTAGGCTGGCCTGAATTCATCATGTAGCCCAGGCTGGACTGGGACTCACAGAGGCCCGCCTGCCTCTGCCTCCCAAGTGCTCAGACTAGAGGCAAGTGAGTAGTACAAGGCCAGCTTCCTGGCTGGTTTTTAAGTATGAAGTTGTGTGTCTTTTTCCTGACCCAGCTTCTGACTCTAGGTGTGTGTTTGAAGCCAGGGTTTGAGTGTCCTTGAGAGTAGAGCTCTGCGCATCTGTCTGTCCTGGTCTTCACTGTGTATACTTCCTTCAGGAACTTCTTTCCCAGAGCGGAAGGGACGCCCTTCCTGGTCTCTGTTTTAGCTATTAGCCTCCTTCCCTGTCCTCCACACAGAGCACACTTGTCATCCCTTGGTTCAAGCCCACAACCTCCTCTCCCTGCAGAGGAGCCCAGAGCCCTCACAGTCGCCTGTCTGTTCCTCCTTCCCACTCCTTGCTGTGCCCTGCAGCCAGCCATGCCCTTTCTCTAGCCCTCAGCCCCGCCGAGGCCTTTCTCCAAAGTGCTCCTGTGACCTTCCCACCTGTCTGTGCTTGTCTGTCTCTCCGGGAGCCGGGCAGCACACAGTGTGGCTCTCTCCGGGAGCCTCGGCAGCACACAGTGTGGCTCTTTTTCTGTCCATGTCCAACACCACAGGAGCTGGGTGAGAGTGGATGAAGGGCTGGAGCTGAAAGGCTCTGTGTTCGTCACTTCCAGAAAGTTGTGAGGTTGTGATGAGAGCCTTGGAGTGTCGAGTCCACCTGGGCAATTTTCTGCCCTGCCTTTCTCCTTTTCCGTGACAGTGATGCCATTAAACTTGCTTCCTCTGGGTACTGGTCAGCTAGCTGGGGAGCGGATGTGATGCCTCCATTGCGAGCATGGTAGTGGGAATGGGTTCTCTGCCTGCAGGTTCACCCTGAGAATGAAGACTGGACCTGCTTCGAACAGTCTGCAAGTTTAGATATCAAATCCTTCTTTGGTTTTGAAAGTACAGTGGAAAAAATTGCCATGAAACAATATACCAGCAACATTAAAAAAGTGAGTGTCTTTGTTGGGATTTTATGGAAAAAGAGGTGGCTGTCTCTGAGAGTGACCACAGCCTGGTTGTCTTTTAGCTTACTGTTCACTTGTTGAGACAAGATTTCCCTAGTTCACGCAAACTCCTAATCCTCTTGCTTCAGCTTCCCATGCGTCAGGGTTTCAGGTGTTTCCCCTGCTCTCAGTGAGAATTATTTTGGGGGTGAACAGGTGGGAGATTAGGGATTGAACTCACTCAGGGTCATGCGTGTGCTAAGCTAGCATTCCACCACAGAGCTGTGTTTGTAGCCCCCAGATTCTGGTTTGGGTAATGTCTTAGAAGCTGGCGAGGGTGAGATGTCTGGGTGGTGGATGCAGCTCACAGTATACCTGTCTTGTCTCGAAGGGGAAAGAAATCATCGAATACTACCTGCGGCAGCTGGAGGAGGAGGGCATTACCTTCGTGCCCCGGTGGACCCCGCCCTCTCTGGGACCCTCATCAGAGACATTGTCATCAAGCAAGGGTCAAGCCACATCTGCAGCTGTCCTTGTCCCAGATGCTGCTGCCCTCAGGGAGGGGCTGAGTGGGGAAGGCCTCAACAGCCCGGGCACAGCATCTGAGCCTGTGGTGGGAACCCCTGACGGTGAGCCTCGCTCCTCCCCATAGCTCTGTCCGTGACAGTCGGCCTTGCACAGAAGAGAAACCCATCCATGTCTGACCGTGTTTCCTGAGCCTCCCACTTAGAGAACACATCTGTTTTAGTCTTGTTTGTTAAATGGAAGTTATTTCTAGTTGTCCACTGATTAGGACCAGGAAGTGTTTTCTGTGTGTTTTCGTCACCCGGGTCCTGTGCCTCCTCTGCGCAGCTCCCACTCTTAGCCCCAGGGACCAGTTGGCTGAATTCATATCTGGGTTTGCTGGGCACAGCTAGTGACAGGGCTGGGCCAGGGTTTGTGTGCAGTTTTCTGGGTGTACATACATAAGAAACAAGTTTTTAATTTCTAGTTACAGAAAGTTTAGAAAATAGGGGGGAAATCAAAAAACTCAGGAAGATTCTAATACTGGGAAACATTGTTAGGATAATGGTATTTATCGTTCTTTCGTTCTGCTTGCTTTTGCATAGTCAGCTGGGGAAAGAGAGTCGGGCTGTGCATTTGAACTCAGGCCCTGTGTTGAAGATGAGTGTGCACTGTATCTATTAAGTTATCAGCCTGCCCTTAGTAGTACTGAAATTACAGGCGGAGGAGGCTCGGAACCCGCCTGTTTTTATCAGGGATCTGATCTTAAAGACCGCTTACTTACCTGTGGTTATCAGTGATGCCTCCCTTAAGGCTGCCCAGGACAGTTGCTGTCTTGCCCTGCCCCCACTCCAGCCTCTTTCTCTTTCTCCAGAGAAAGAGAAGGGTTCTTTCTCTGTGTTAAATAACGCCACGTACCTTAAATTCCAGACAAGCTAGATGCCGACTACATCAAGAGATACTTGGGTGACCTGACCCCTCTCCAGGAGAGCTGCCTCATCAGACTGCGCCAGTGGCTCCAGGAGACGCACAAGGGCAAAGTGAGTGCCAGGTGCTGTCAGCGCTGCTGACCGCGGAGCCTGCAATCTCTGGTCTCACTGGAGGCTGCAGAGTAAAGATCCTGCCATGTCTATTGACCCGTTCCTCCCACCTGAAATACCATGAGTGTGTCTGTGGTGCCAGATCCTCATGGCAGGCTTAAGAAGCCATCCACACATGGGTAGCTATGTTTCCTGCGTTTCACAGAGAAAGGTCTAGCTTAGAATCCGCGACATGCCATTCAGTAGAACATAGTGTCTGTCTGTGTTGAGGAGCTGGAGCATTTTTTTTTAAGTGTTGGCCTTATCATACAAACAAATCCTCTTCTCTGTGACATTTTAATACACGTATATCATTATACTTTGTTATTCAGGAGAATGTCACCTGCCCTCCTGTCACAGTGAAGCTTTGATTCTGAGACTGGGGGAGACCCTAGCCCCACAGGAGTGAGATTTATGAAAAACAGGCAAGATAAAGGGAGCTGGGCATCATGTGTGGCTCGCCTGGTCCCTTGGGCCTGGTTGCCTGGGTTTACAGCTGCATATCGCCGGTCATTAGGGAAGCAGCCACAGAGGAGCAGCTGCCCTGGACAGCTGTGTAGTGGCTGCTCCAGCTCCACAGTCCTGTGGGTGAGTGTGGTCTAAGTAGCAAGGCCGTGGGAAGGTCAGGCAAGTAACTGAGGCCTTGGGGCTGCTGCATGATAAAGCAGGATTGCAACTCAAGCCACTTGGTTCCAGCATCCATAGTCCTGTTCTGCCCCCTCATCTCCTTTTTGATTTTAAAAGAAATGTAGGTGACCAGTTTATTAGGGCGAGAAGTTCTGTTTATTTAAATCTTTATTTTATTTATTTATGTGTGTGACTGCTTTTCCTGCCTATGTATGTGTGTACCATGTGCATGCAGTGTTCGTAGAGGCCAGAAGAAGGCATCATGTTCCATGGGATTGGAGTTAGAGATGGTTGTGAGCCTCCCTGTGAGAGCTGGGAATTGAACCTGGGTCCTAGGGTGCCCCTACCTGTTGAGCTGTCTCTTCAGCCCTGTTCCCCCCCCCTTCCTATTTTGGGAGAGTCTTATTGTAGCTTCAAACTTTAAAAAAGATTTTTTTAAAAAAAAAAAATGGTTATCTTGTGTCTGTGGGTGTCTTGCTTCCATGTCTGTCTACACAGCAGCACATCTAACCTCTGGTCTGTATCTCCAGCCCCATAGTAGAGAGCTCCTGATCCTCCTCCCTGCCTCACTCCAGCCCCCACATTCTTAATCACCTCTGTGTAACTAATTCTTTTCAGATGATTGAGCCACATCCGCGGCCTGGCTTTGCCTCACGTGACCAGGAAAGCCGTGAGTGGCTGTTGTTCCCACTCACTTCCTGGCCCCTGATTGTCCCACGGCCCTCGTTCGTGAATGTCTAGCCTTGAGGGTGATACCTGGCCCAGAGCAGGCTGGGAACAGCCTCAGCCTTGTTCTTTATCCAGGCGAGCATCCTATGGATGAGAACATTCTGGCAAGCATCCTAGAGAACATTCCGGTGTGACAGTACCACCATCTTGTCCACATCAGCTCCTAAAGTATACTGTGCACAGAAAAGTGATCATAATACAATTCACATAGAGCCCAGAGTGTCTGTGTGTGGGGGGCTGGGACTGGATGTTTAAGAAGTCTGTTTCTATTAACGAATCAATCCCACACCAGTTATGTTTTAAGGGGTTATTTATTTGGCGGGGGGTAAAACTTACATACACCATAAACCGTCAGGAAGGGAGCCTAGTCGCTGGAGCAGGAGCCGGGAGCAGCAGCCGAGACCGAGCACCGGAACCAAGAGCCGGAACCAAGAGGGCCTATTCCGGATATGCTTCTCTTTTTAAAAGAGAAATATACCACGCCCCAGTGGGCTGGTATTTCAGCAGCTATTGGCTGACGGAGCGGAAGTCGCTCCCCGCTGCACTGTGGGCTCGTATTTCAGCGACTATTGATTGAGGCAGCGGAAGTTACTCCCACAACATGTTTCCAGCTGGTTGTGGTGGTGTATGCCTTTAATCGAGGCAGAGGCAGACAGGTCATCGTGCCTGGTCTACACAGTGAGTTCCAGCAGAGTAAGACACTGCCTTTGCCTTAAACAAGCAGAGATCAGTTTGCCTCCACTTCTCACTTTGCTCAGCTGAAGTCGGTACGAATTTTCCCAGTTCTGCTTTTTTATGGCACCAGTGGTGACTTTTCTGGCAACTTTTTTGGTGGTACAAGGGCTGGACCTGTTAGAAAAGCTTCCTACCCCAAGCTGTGCTCAACCTAGGAACGCTGCTTCTTGGCATTGTGAACAGTGTGGCTCACTGATGGCAGTGGGTAGGTGTCTTAGGTATGGTTTCTGTTGCTGAGAAGAGACACCATAACCACAGCAACTCTTATAAAGGAAAATCATTTAATTGGGTGGCTTGTAGTTTCAAAGGTTTAGTTCATTATCATCATGGTACAGCATGGTGCAGGCAGACATGGTACTAGAGAAGAAGCTGAGCTGAGAGTCCTACATCTTGATCCATAGGCAACAGGAAGTGAACTGTCTCACTGGGTGTGGCTTGAGCATATATGAGACCTCAAAGTCCATCTCCACAGTGACACACTTCCTCCAACAAGGCCGCACCTCCCAATAGTGCCACTCTCTATGAACTTCTGGGACCAATTACATTCAGACTACTACAGTAGGTAGACTTTCCCCCAGCACCTCCCACATAGCCTGAAAACCTCTCTTCTTCTAGATCCCGAAGGATGAGCATATTCTGCGGTTTCTGCGTGCCCGAGATTTTAATATTGACAAAGCCAGAGAGATCATGTGCCAGTCTCTAACTTGGCGGAAGCAGCACCAGGTGGATTACATCCTGGACACCTGGACTCCACCCCAGGTCCTTCAGGATTACTACGCTGGCGGCTGGCATCACCATGACAAAGGTAGGGCGAGTCTGACATGGTCACAGCTCTCTGTTTGTGTCACCCTATACCACGTGACCGGCTGCTGTGTGGTTAGAAGCCTGTTCACCCAAGCCTGGACAGCCAGACTGGGACGTGGTTTACAGGTTAACAGAGCCTTACCTTCTGTTCTCAGAGTCTGGTTTGCCCAGGAGAGCATTGCAGTGTGTGGCACAGTACAGTAGACAGCAGTGACCACCACCTTCATTTATAGCAGCCAGAGCTGCCTGGCCCAGTCTCCTGCTGCAGACAGTACAGAAGGGCTCACTGAGGGCCGAAGCCCAGTACCAGGGCATGCCAGCCACCCCTGGGACCTCCCCCAGCCCCTCACCCGCCTCAGCCTTGTGGGAGGATACGCTGTGTCTGCTGACCTCGCTGCTGACCTAGAGCCTGCCAGCTGTACGGGTGGCACTGTGCTCACGCAGATGTGACAGGATACTTAGAAAATGCCCGCCCCCCTCCCCCAAACATGTCCTTTCAGATCAGCAAGTCCTGAAAACCTTGTTTTCAACTTTGGGAATGTAGTCTTCAGATTAATTGTAGCTTTATTAATTTTTGCTTTTGTTTTTATTTTTTGAGATAAGGTCTTGTACTGTGGCCTAGGCTAGCCTTAAACTTTCTTAAATAGCTAAGAGGAGCTTTTAACTCATCTGTTGATTTTGTTTTTAACATTGTATATAATTGAGTAACTTCTGGGTTTCTGTTTGACACAGGGTCTCTTTATGTAGCATAGGCTAACCCTGAACTCTAGATCCTCTTGTATTAGGATCCTGAATACAGAAACACAATACTGTGTACTTTGATGTCCATTACTTTATTAATTTTTACTGAAAATGTAATACTTATTTTTATTCCACTTTGTGGCTCAACTTTTGAAGGTTAAAAAGTTTTGGTAATAAGATCTTGACAGACCAGCCGTGGTGCCTCATACCTCTAATCCATCATTTAGGAGACAGGCAGGCAGGTATTGAATCCAGTCTGGACAACACAGTGAGTTCCAGGACAGCCAGAGTTACAGCTGAGACCCTGTCTCAAAAAGATTTTTTTTTAAAATATGTTTTAGTAAATGTTAGTAGAGTCAGGTGTGGTGGAGTTTGTAATCCCACCCCTTGAGAGGCAGAAGCAGGCTGATGATGTCTGTGAGTTTGAGGTCAGCCTCATCTCTGGAGCAAGTTCCAAGCCAGCCAGAACTACACAGTGAGATATGGGCTGCAGGTGATGTCCCCCAGGGGTCAGGTGTTGGTCCCAGGCAGGATGACAGCCGACCTGGTGCGTTGAGGATGCTGGCCTGGGCCTAGGGTCACAACTGTAGGGTGCGCTCTGGCCTGCAGTCGTTTCTACTCTGGTGGGTGATGACAGATTCTGGCATGAGTTCATAGGCCCTCTGGGCTAGGAAGCCGTAGACCCAGCATGTGCTGGCTGTGGTACTTAATGGATTTCCAGATGTGTGTTCTTAGGAAGGAAGGCTGACTTTTTAAGAATCTTGACAATAACTTCTTAATTTATGGAAAATTGTTTTATAATTAAAAAACCCCTCTGTGTTCATAGAAAATATGTGGCTATGCTGATGTCCCCTGCAGTGAACACTGAACTTAGCAGCAGCCATGGTCATTCATGTCGGAGAGCCAGGCGGCTGCACCCAGCTCAGTCCCACTTGGCCTGGCCCAGCCCAGCAGTGTGGGCCCTGGGTCCTGACTTGGTTGCCCCTCCCCATGGCATCCTTACACAGAAGCTAGTCTCCCTTGGCTCCCAGACTAGGCCAGGGCTCCACGTGTTTTCTTGCTTATCTCAAGCAGGAGCACAGAGCATGCTTCCCTGGGCAGCCTTTCTGTGCTATGCCAGGGACAAACACAAGGTCTCACAGAAGGGACCTCTGGCATGGAGCTGCTCCTTGGCCCTTGTGAATCCTCTCAGAGCCATGCCCTGCCACTCACCTCAGCCTTCTGCTTGCCTCTCTGTAGACGGGCGACCGCTGTATGTGCTCAGACTGGGGCAGATGGACACCAAGGGCTTGGTGCGAGCCCTCGGAGAGGAAGCCCTGCTGCGATACGTGAGTGTTCTGGGGAACACTGGGCTGCATGCTGGCTTCATGCTTGCTACCAGCAGGACTGGGGCATCGTAGCTGGCTACTGGGACAAGTACGCATGCCCTACACTTGGGGAGATGTCCTCTGCAGAAAGGCTTCTGAGGAGGATGCACAGTGCAAGCCCCAGGAGACGGTTCCTGGCACCTCTGACTCAGAGCTATCACCCACGTCATACCTCCTGCCAGATCTCTTTCTGTTGACCCTTCCCTTTTACAGGCTGACGGCCCCTTTCTTAGGCTGCTGAGCTGTCACCTGATTCCAGGCCACTCCTGTATCTCCCCAAAGAAGAATCTGTTTTTTCAGTTTGAAAACAAACTAAGACATAAAAAAAACAAATCCCACCTACCCCGGTATTTATAGCTCTTGTTTTGATGTGTATTCTTTTAGGTGCCTATTCCCCAGCCATGTGTTTTTACACACTTGCGCGCACACACACACACACACATACACACACACATTTATTGCTCTACCCAAGAATCCTTATCCCCCCCCTCCAGCAGCTGTTTTCCCTGCCTCTGTCTTGGCTGATATAGGGAGACCAGGGTGTACCCACACTCCTCACCCGTCTCCTGTCCAGAATGAGCCTGTCTGCAAACACCCCCACGTCAGTTCTGCCTGCTCAGGTGACTCTGAACTGGTGTTTTCTTTGACCCGCCTGCTTTCTCTCCTGTTGATGCTATTTACTCTCTGCAAGTGAAGCAGTTATTGTTGCCTTGTGGGGTGTGAGGGCGTGCCGTGGCCATGTGTGGCTGTGTCATACTGCCTTAACACCCTCTGTTAAGTTTGATGTTTCCTTCGCTTCTGGACTGACCCTGGCCATCGTCATTTGCTTACAGGTCCTTTCCATAAATGAAGAAGGCCTAAGACGATGTGAAGAAAATACCAAAGTCTTCGGCCGGCCGATCAGGTTGGTGGGGCCTTATCTCGGACCATATAAAGAACAGGAACTAAATTCTTTCAGTTGACCTTTGGCACCACAGCCTGATAGCTGACTGTTTCCAAGCGGTCTGGAAGGTTGGAAAACAAGTGATAAGGTCAGTCAGTCTCAAGGGCAGTGCCAAGGTCTCATATCTGTTAGTCCTGAGTTGCTGGTTTGTGGTCCTAGGAGCCAGGACCACATACAGTTTGCCTGTTGGACTTCTTGCCCTTCAACCCCCAGTTCTTTCTGATGACCCAGCTTCTAATTGTGAAACACTGTTCTGAAGACGGCCAGAGAAAACTTTTAAAAGAAAGACACTTAGAAAAGCCAGGCATGAAAGGTCACTCCTGTAATCCCAGCACTTGAGAAATGAGGCAGGAGGATAAGACTTAAAGGTCATCTTCAGCTCTGTACAGTTCAATGCCAGCCAGAGCTACATGAGACCCTGGCTCGGGTTGAGCAGTGTTGGTTCTGCCAGGCTGGGATGTTCAGGGTCCTGTTCTCAGCGCCTGTCAGTTCCGGAGGCGGCGCTGTACCTGCGAGTATGTTTGTCGTTGCAGTTTACAGTTCGTGTGTCCATGCCAAGCGTCTGCCTTGCTGACAGGCCGGGGAGGCATCATCAGGATGCTCAGCACTGAGGGGGCCTTTTCAGAGCTGGGGTCTCATTAGCCAGGCTGTCCTTGAACTCCTGATCCTCCTGCCTCTGCTTCCTGAGCCCTGGGATGTCAGCGGTTCATAGACTCACTGTGTCTGTCAGGACTCTGCCGTGTAGTTCAGGCTTTGCTCCTGTCACATTGCCAGTCTGCACATGCATGCAGACAAGAGTGCGCGTCACTTTAATTCTAAAACCTGTCACATTTGGGAATGGCTGTAAACGAGTTTTATATCAAAAGAGGAAAATGAAATAGGATGCCATTTGCCAAGTACCATCTTTTAATAAGACACATCTTGGTATTATCCGTAGCTCGTGGACCTGCCTGGTAGACCTTGAAGGACTGAACATGCGCCATCTGTGGAGACCTGGAGTCAAAGCTTTGCTGCGCATCATCGAGGTGGTGGAGGCCAACTACCCGGAGACGCTGGGCCGCCTCCTCATCCTCCGAGCCCCTAGGGTCTTCCCTGTCCTCTGGACACTGGTGGGTTTAGATGCTGTTCTTTAGCCATCTGGGCGTGCTCAGTACCTGCCTCCCGGTGAGGTCTCTGCTAGGCAGGAGAAAACAAATAAACCCAGATACAAAGTGCTTCTGACTCTTTAAGAGGGAAACAGGCAGAATTTCCCTGAGGGTCCAAGTGCTTTGTCAGGGATGTCACAGAGTGCCTGAGAGCTGCGACCCACCTGCTACCTCACCCATGCATGCTGTTGTGGTGCAGGCTTGGTCCCTGAACACCACAGCAGCAGATGACATCACTGTTTTGTCTGATTGGTTTCAGGTTAGTCCATTTATTGACGACAACACCAGAAGGAAATTCCTCATTTATGCGGGAAATGACTACCAGGGCCCTGGAGGCCTGCTGGATTACATCGATAAAGAAATAATTCCAGATTTCCTGAGCGGGGAGTGCATGGTACGTATTGGGCAAGCACCCATGGCAGGGCCGAGCACTTGTTTGCACTGAAGGTTTTCTGAACTGGGTGGTTGTTGGTTTTGCTTTGTTGAATAGATTGGGCCGCTGAGGAGTCTGTTGCTGACGTGTTACTTTAACACTCAGGAGCATGTTACAGGGTCCAATGCCCTGCAGCTGCCTTTATTCACACAGCCTTGTGTAAATCACATCTCGACTGCTTCAGAGAAACTGTGTGTGTTTTAGAACTGCATTTTTTTTTTAACATATCTCTGTGATGTGAGTGTGTAGGCCTGAGGTTGACTCAGTTGGTCTCCATCTTGTTAACTGAGACAGGGCCTCTCAGTTGAACCCAGGACACACTAATTAGGTGAGTCTGTCTAGCCAGCGTGCTCCAGGGTCCCGCCCTCCCACCTCTCAAGAAGTGGAGTCCAGGCAGGCCATTCAGCCCTCTCAGCATTTACAGAGACGCTGGGCATCCAGACTCGGCCGTCAGTTACATGACAACTGCCTCATCTGTTGGGCCGTCTCCTCAGCCTTAAAACACTTACAAGATGTAGAATCCACTCCCAAGACTGTTTCTCCTTGATTTAAGTAAACCAACATAATATTAAAGTTGAAAATTGCTTCTGTCTTTTGTAGGTTTGGGGTTTTAGGAAATGAGGTGATGGATAATTAGGCAGACACCTCTGCTGGCAGACCCTGTGCTGGGGTGCAGGAGTCTGATGCCAGAACATGGAGGTCGCGCCCAGAATCCTGACATCAGGGAACAGAAGCCCACAGAGACAAGTGCCTGACTCCATGACACACAGTAGGAATGGAAGCAGCAGGAGTCAAGTTCTTAGCAGGCTCTTGTCACACTTGACCCTGATGGTGGTCTTCTGAGTCGTGTACCCTGGAATTGTCTGGCTGTGAAGAGTTGAGCTTTCAGTGTGGTTTCTCCAAATGGCTGGAGGAATTTAGGAAACAGGAGAGCTGAGCTTCGGCTCCATGAGGGAGATTGGTGGTGTCATCACAAAACAAAGAGCACGTAGTTGCGACCACAGTGATCCCGAGCAAGGTTAAAGCATGGGCCAGGCTGTGGCAGCCATGACTGCTGTCAGGACAAGAATTGAGCTGGGGCAGAAGGTTCAACGCCCTACCGTTAGTATTTGCTGATGCTGTGATGGTGCTCAGAGTCAAGCTGAGGCCTGAGCCCCGCTCTCAACTCTCCCCAGTGGCTCCTCAGGCTGCCTGTCAAGAGTCGTTCATGACTTCCCTGTGGGCAGGGGTATTGAACTTTGGGCCAGGCTAGTGTGTGTTTTCCTTGAGACAGAGTCTCATTACGTAGCCACGCTGGCCCTGAACTCATAGCCCTCCTGTCTCCATACCCTCGGTGCTGGAGTGAGGCCTCACTAGTAGCCTGTCCACACCAGCGTCTGTGACTTCGGGTGACTGCAGGGACCTTTCCCTGCTGCTGCTGTGCTACAGGCTGAGAGCTGCAATTTTGCTCTCTGGAGTTACTTCCAGGTTGATCATCTCAGGAGCGCTTAGATTTTATGCACTTGGATGCAAGTTTGCTTTATTAAGGTCAGCTAGAGAATTTACAGCAAGAACAGCTTCAGAGTCAGCTCAGCTTTTTCAAATCAGTTCAAGTAATGGTCTTTTGTCAAATTTTGGCTGATTCATTGTTTGACCAAGGTTACATAGGGAGCTTGCTTTAGTGTATCTTGATTTTCTTCCTTCTTTCCTTCCTTCCTTCCTTCCTTCCTTCCTTCCTTCCTTCTTCCTCCCTTCCTCCCTTCCTCCCTTCCTCCCTTCCTCCCTTCCTCCCTTCTTCCCTTCCTCCCATCCTCCCTCCCTCCCTCCCTTTTTGTGGTGCTGAGGATGAACCCCAGAGCCTGGTGTGCGTTAGGCAGGCTGTGCCGCTGGGCTGCACCCCGAGTGACTGTGGTTTCTGTGGGTGGCTGTTGGGAATGGAGCTCTGCTTAACTGACCGTGCTTCCTTTCCAGGGCGCTGTAAAGTCTATTAATCGAGTTCTGTCCCTCACGCATGTTAGTGTGAATCCCGTGCTAAACCAGCTGTGGCTAGTTCTCATTTATCCAAAGTAAAAACACTTGTATCTAAGTGGGCTGCACAAATATTTTGCTAAGTACTACAGAGTACTTGATAACATTACCAGTGTCCTCCGTTCTCCCATCTGCCCCAGGAGGTGGGCATGTGGGATGAGGGGCTGCCTGGCCTCTACACATCTCTCACTGCCATGTTTTCCTTTCTAGTGTGATGTACCAGAGGGTGGACTGGTCCCCAAATCTCTGTACAGGACTGCAGAGGAGCTGGAAAATGAGGACCTGAAGCTCTGGACAGAGACCATCTACCAGTCTGCCAGCGTGTTCAAAGGAGCCCCACATGAGGTGCCCACCCTCGGCTTCTCCCACCTACCACCAGACAGACAGCACTTTCCTTAGGGTCCTTGGCTCCTTTTTCTGGTCTTGGCTTTAGGTTTTGTTGGCACTGGTGTTGGGAAATGGCAGCACTGAAGGGCAGAGCTGCCTCAGGACCCTACTGTCTGACCAGAGTGAACCCTAAAAGCACATCAGCCCACCGACTGCTATTTCACTGAGGTCCTTGGCCCCGTGCAGAACAGGTCTTGCCTGGGGAGGGCTGTTTCCAGCTCCTGGATTTGGTTTGATGGTTTCATGGGACAAGTTTTGCTCAATAGTTTTTTTTGACTGGGTTCTGGTCATTTGTCTTTCTTGCAGTCTTTGGTGACTTTTGTCACTCTGAAGGGACTGCCAGGAATGAGAAATGAGCACATCTTCTTTCCCTTCTTCCCAGCATGGGGTGTGGTAGCAAGGGTAGAAGCAGCAAAGCTTCTGTTTGGCAGGCTCTCCCCCCGTCCCTGTGGCGTGAGCATGGCCAGCCCACCCTTCGCTTAGCTCTAGGCACGTGTGTTGCTTTAGCTCTAGGCACGTGTGTTGCTGTGTCCCTGGTGGGAGGCAGCGTTTATACAGAACAGACCCCTCCACCCATAGAGTGCTGGCTCCACGGGTGGCTTTCTGCTGTGGCCTCTTCAGCTGCCAGGTGCTGTCCAGACAGCCAACCAATAGATACGTAGAGGCGCGCTGAGAGTGAGCCTGAGGCTGTGCTGTGAATGAGCAGGCACAAATCCAGTGTGCCTCCCTCCCCCATGATCCATGCAGGGGACCTTGGGTGTGTGACTGTCTCAAGAGTCGTTTGCCTTCATTTCGTATGTGGTGGGCAGGCTGCGGTGGATGAGCTGTTTACCAGGCAGCTGTCAGTCTTGTCTTTGTTGCAAGGCTCAGGGGCTCACTGTGGCTTCTGAGTCCCATAGCACCTGTCAGTATTGACAATAAAAGCTCCATTCTGTCTTGGGCTGTAAAGAAAGAACACATCAAAGAATACTGCTTAGAGTGTCCCCATTGCCGGTCGGCACAGGGCCCGCGGTCTCTTGAAGAGAATATGCTGCACCCTTTAGTGTTGACCTCTGCCTTGACTGGGGCCGAGCACCTTCAGAGGGTCACGGAGGGGCTGGAGGAGCAAGCAGCAGATTGCATGGCTGTTTCTGCTTTGTGACCTCACAGTTTCCTCAAATCCGGCCTCTTCCCTCTGGGACACTGCAGATGAAGGATAGATTTCAGACTTGGGATTGGCACTCTGTACTCTCGGCAGTCACCCCCAGAGCACATCTGATCTCTCCACCCACTTGCATGCCTTATGCAGGCATGAGGCTCTACCAGCCCATCCTTCCATCCATGCACCTCTGTTCTGTAGGGCCTGCCATGTCTCCCTAGCTTGAGGCAGTTCACTGAATCCCATGTTCATGCTCATGAGTGTCCCTAACCTGTGTCGGAAGATGAGGAGTGGGACTCTTCACTCAAGAGTCCCACTAGCCATTTGCCTCATTGGTAACACATAGTCAGAACTAGAGAGAACAGTGGGTGGGCTGGTGGTGGGCATCTAGATGCCTGAGTGCCTTGAGGTAAAGAGAACTGCCCTTGATCTGCCCTGCCCCTTTGCCCGCTCACACATCTGAGCCATAGAGCCAGACCCTAGAGCTGTTCCTGCTCCTGCTGAGGCCAGGCCTCATGCTGGGAATTGGTGACTGATGGGATCTCTTTCTCCAGATTCTCATTCAGATTGTGGACGCTGCCTCTGTGATCACCTGGGATTTTGATGTGTGCAAAGGGGACATCGTCTTTAATATTTATCACTCCAAGAGGTCTCCCCAGCCACCCAAAAAGGATGCGTTGGGAGCCCACAGCATCACTTCTCCAGGTGGGAACAATGTGCAGCTCATAGACAAAGTGTGGCAGCTGGGCCGGGACTACAGCACGGTGGAGTCGCCACTGATCTGCAAAGAAGGAGAGAGCGTGCAGGTGAGCCGCCATCTGCTGCCCTGCGACACTGTCCACGCAGGTGGCCTGCTCAGTCAGACCCCTTAAGGTGCCCGGGGCACAGTGGAAGGAGCCATGGCCCGAGGAAGGTCTGAGACCCAAGCAGTGAACCTAGTGAAATGTGTGGATTTCCCAGGACTGTCTGCACCCAGGTGCCACGAGAAACTCAGGAAAGAAATACTTTGTAGGCACACATCCGGGTCTCAGTGACCTCACTGAGGTGGGACTTGGCATGGCTTTGCCTCAGAAGCAAGAGGAGCACCTGCAGAGGCCATTGCAGCTCTCGCTAGGACACATGACAGCTCTGCACTGTGCTGGTGCTGGCTCCTGTTGTACCAGGCGGGCCTCTCCCTTCCTGCTGGCTCCTGCAGCGCCTCTGGCAGTAAATGCCTGCCTTCCTCCCACACTCCCACAATGCCTCTGCCCCACACCGTGGCTGCCTGCTTTCCATTCCTGTGTGGTTCGCAAATGCAGGCTGCCTGCGCATCAGTGGTCTTGAGGCAGCTTAGAAGGGAATCGTCACCCATCTTAAAGTATTGAGCCTTTGAAGCTGGCTTTCCTCTGAATCTTCCATCCAGAATGGAAGGAGTCATTGGAACAGATGGCTGGAGTGCAGGACGTGACAGGAGTGTGGCCTTGACATCTCTGTCCCAAAGACAGGCCCACTTGACAGCCCCCGCCCTGCCAAGCCCCTGCTGTCTAGTGGTCTCAAGATACTGCAGGTTGCTGAGGGCAGCAAACATGTTGTGTGCTGCCTTCCCAGCACCTGGCAAAGGCCTCAACATCCAGTAGGTAGAAGGACGTTGCCAGGCTGTTTCCTGATGGCGAGCTCTCAGGACACCCTCCCCTTGAAGCTTGTCAGACCGGTTTGAAGGCTGGCAGGATGTCCTGAGCTCCCCTGCTGTCTTCTCCCATGCAGGGCTCCCATGTGACCAGGTGGCCAGGCTTCTACATCCTGCAGTGGAAGTTCCACAGCATGCCAGCGTGTTCCGCCACCAACCTCCCCCGAGTGGATGACGTGCTGGCCTCCCTGCAGGTCTCCTCCCACAAGTGCAAAGTGATGTACTACACAGAAGTGATCGGGTCCGAGGATTTCAGGTACTTGCCTGAGGGGCGGGTGCTACTCTGTCCCTGTCTGGGGCTCTGTGGGACTGTCGGAGAGGAGTGCAGCCTGGTGTTTGCTGAGTGCAGTGTCACCTGTGGACAGACCACAAGACGTGCATTCCTCCCGTGGGGTCCAGCAGGCATTGTGGGCATCTGGGTGGCTCAGGGCAGTTCCTCATTCCTTGTTCTTTCTTGGTTCCTTTGCAGAGGCTCCATGACCAGCCTGGAGTCCAGCCACAGTGGATTCTCACAGCTGAGTGCCGCCACCACCTCCTCCAGCCAATCACACTCCAGCTCCATGATTTCCAGGTAGTGCTGCGAAGCCAGTGCCTAATGCAGAGGGACGGAGGAGGCCTCCTCGGCTGCTGTGCTCCACCCACCCCAAGATGTGCAGACTCCTCACCCTCTAGATAGCAGCTAGCTCTCGAGATGGTATACTAGCACTTGGTCCCAGACTATCGTGGCAGGTAGCTTTAACTCTACCCTAACTTTAACTCAGTAGCCATAGATTTTGTATGCAGCGTGCACAAAATCAAACCAGAGCACAAGGGCTCTTGAAAGAAAATTAGTTTATCTACAGTAAGAGACTGACTGGTCTCACATGTTGATGCAAAACGTTTTTCCAACAAACTCCACCTTGTCCACTAGCGAATGACTTGTATGACAGACATCCTGCAGAGACGAGCCGCCTCCTCCACGGAACCGAAGCTGCAGCAGGCAGCCCTTAAGCTGCACCGGAGTCCTCGTGGCTCCCTGTTAGTGGAGGTGGCCTGTGGATTCACGACAGCCCTTGAGGTCCCTTTCCTCTGAGGACTTGGCAGCCTACAGGAGCACCCGGTCCTGGGGCGGAGCCAGTCGCTCCTAAGCAGACATGCTGCCCAGGAGGGACTCTCAGGCTCCCCACAACTCCCGATAACACCGCCATCATTAAACATTGCTTTCTCTTTCCTCCTCTTCAAATCTTTTGATATTTTTCAGAGCAAAATTTTTCTGTCCATGAACTTGGGAAAGGGGAGGGTTCTATTCTCTGCTGAATGCTGCTTTTCCTCCTGCAGGTGGGCAGCTCTGTGCCCACCAGCACCTAGGGTCCCCAGCCCTTAGCACCCAGTGTCTTCAGCTCTCAGCACCCAAGATCCTCAGCCCTCAGCACCCAGGGTCCCCAGCCCTCAGCACCCAGGGTCCCCAGCCCTCAGCACCCAGGGTCTTCAACCCTCAGCACCCAGGATCCTCAGCCCTCAGCACCCAGGGTCCCCAGCCCCATAGCTCCCAGGATCCTCAGCCCTCAGCACCCAGGGTCCTCAGTCCTCAGCACCCAGGGTCCCCAGCCCCATAGTTCCCAGGATCTTCAGCTCTCAGCGGGTGTTGGAAGTAGTGGATGACACTTCCTTTTGGAAGTGTGGCAAAAGAGACCCCAACAATGCTCTCCAGGGTGGCGCATGGCTTGTAGTGGCCTTGGGTGTGTGATGGATGTTGGGGTGTGTGCAGGTGCCGTTTGTGTGCATGAGGGACGGGGGGGGAGCATGGTGGATCTTAATTTGTTTTATCAGCATTTTATAGAAGCAGACCAGAGGCTGGCTGGCTTTGTCTTTTTCTTTCTGATCCCCACCTCCCAAAGCCTGCTGTCTGAGCAGGCCCTGACTTCACAGCTTTTATGGGAAAGCTTGATGCTTACAGAGCTGTCTGGAAGTTGCAGGTGGCTGGTCTCCATGAGAAGGGTCTGGGATCTCTGTGTGTGTGTGTGTGTGTTAAACATGTCTAAAGATGGGTGCCAAATCCACACGGCCATGAATGTGTACAACAGGTGTGGAATCATGTGTTGATGCCGCTTGGAGGCATAGATGGATATGTGTGTGAGCTTTGTAGAGCTGTGGCATGTCAGCAAGCATGAGGAGAGACTCCACAGCAGCCTAGCTTGGCCAGTGAGCCTGCTGGCTCCCGGCACTCAACGAATGCTCAGGCCTCACGTTGCTGGCCTCTTTGGCCCTTTGCCATGCATTCCCTGTGCATGGGGGCAGCCATTTCTAGACAGCATAGAAGGGGCTGTAGTTACTGCGTCCACGCTGCTTCCAGTTAGGGCTTCCCAGCTCCAAGTTAAAGGACCTGAAGATGGCCCTGCTCTCTCTCTCTCTCTCGCTCTCTCTCTCCTCTCTCCTCTCTCCCTCTCCTCTCTCCCTCTCCCTTTCCCTCTCTCTGTGTCTCAGATGGCGATTTTGCTGACAGCCTCCAAGAAAACGCTTCACGCGACAGTCCACATGTGCCCAGAGATGCTTATGGGACTGTTTGAGTCGCAGCCATGTCTCAGGCTGAAGATCTGTCCCCTTAGTCCATTCAGAAGTGGCCCTGCTCAGACCCTCAGAACTGAGCTGAGCACATGACCGGGCACTCACAGGCCTCCAGCCGCCTCAGGCCACAGGGCACTGGCTGCCTTGGGAGGGTGACTGGGTGTGATGCGAGTGTGTGCCTTGCAGAGCCTCTTGTCACAGTGCCCGGCACGTGTCCTAAAATGCTGCTGTCTCGCCCTCCCACCCAGTCCCAGCTCTCTGGGTTCCCCCTCTGTTACTAGTGTCTTAATTCACTCTCCTTCCTGAACCCATTATTTGCATATCAGATTCTGTAAATGTTTTATAAACATATTACCTCACTCTTGGTAATACAATATTGATAGTCTTTAAAAGATTTTTTATTGTTACAATAATAAATGTGAACTGTTTAAGAGGAGTGTCCTTTTCTTCTTGGAAGTCTTTGCAGGGTATTAAGATTGGGGCGAGAAGAGGGTTGCTGATGCCCACAGGCAAGGGAGGCCAAGCTGCTGAGTGGATGCTGCGCTCACTCCGTGCCCCTCCAAGTCCTGCTGTGCCCTTTGCAGTTCAGCGTATCAGATGTGACTGGCACAGCCTGGCTTCCTTTGTCCTCACACTTGTTAGTGTCAAGTGGATTTCTCTGGACAGGACCTGGGGAGGCCTAAGTGACCTCATCCTTACGCTCCCGTTTCAGAGGTCTGCAGAGGCAGCAGAGCTCAGGACAGCAGGGCACACAGGTCGGGAGGAGGTCTTCACAGGCATGCCAGGGTGCAAAACTGGAACTTCCCCGAAGGGAGGGCACGTTCTGTCCTACTTGGGTCCTTCTACATGGGATAGAAGGCAGGAGGCTTCCAAGTGTGGTTCATAGCCTGGCATGGGAGTCCTGCTGGGGAATGCTTTCCCTGGGCAATCAGGCTGGACGGTGCCTGACAATCCAGCCCTCATGGCTGAACTTACAACCCTAGGTTCCCATGGTTGGTCAAGGCAAACCTGTCTTTCCTAGTCTTGGCTCCAGGCTCGCATTCTTGGGGAAATGAGACAACCTGAGGATAAGCAGGACTTACAGGTGTCTGACCCAGGTCTTACCTGTACAGGTAGGACCACCCTGAAGTGGCATGCCCTAAACTAGGCCAGATTGCTAGCCTGTGCTCATCCTGAATGACAGCTTTGTAGCCCAGTGTAGCCTGAAACTCATTCTGCAATCTGGGCTGGCTTGAAACTCCCAAGTGCTAGCATTACAGGCATTTACCGCCATGTCCAGCACCATGTTTTCTTTGATGCCAGGTCCATGGGGAGCTCAGACCAAACCTAGACCTCGGGGTACCTGCAGTTCTCAGGACCAGGGGAGACATTCTTATTGATAGACCTTGGGGGACCTGCAGTTCTCAGGGCCAGGGGAGACATTCACATCGTGAAACAATCCAGCTGAACTCGGCTCTGCTTGGAGTAAGGGCTTTATCAAGATGGCTCTGGTACAGTTGTGAGCTCCGTTGTGAGGACCCATCTGGTGTGAGGGAAGAATGGACTCCCTCAGGCTGTCCCTGACCTCCATGCATGTGCTGTGTCATGCATGCGCCCACACACAGCACATACAAATGTCATTTTGAAAATTGAAAACTGAGGATTTTGAGAGCTAGGCATTCTGGGAAGACAGAAACGGTGTTCCCACATAAATACAGTGAAGGTAAAACCTACAGCTGGCAGAGAACCAACCCTGTGCTCCAAATGCTAAAATGACGGGGTTTTTTTTGTTTCTGTTTTTGTCTTTTGTTTTACTTTCCCACAGTAATCGCTCCTGTGACTATCACTCTGCCACAAAACTGTGTAGTAAGGTATGCTAGAATACCCAAAACAACCATGTCACAGGCAAATCACTAGTCACGAGACTCCCCTGCACTCAGGAGAAAGCAGAGGCGGTCTGAAAGGTGCTGTAATAGGAATGCCTCTGTAGCCCGGGGTCTTGCTGGACAGGTCTGGGGCAGCAGCGGACTGGCTACCTGGCCTGTTGTCCACTGAACAGCCAGGAGTGTGGGTGACTGCGAGGCAGCTCTAGGAGCAGATGGGCCTTCGTTGTGAACGCCACTAAGACAGCAGGAAAGGATCCGTGTGACCTGTGAAAGCCTAGAACACCGACATAAAAACAGGCGTCAGAAAGCACCCGCCAACCACATCCACCAAGCAAATGACCCCACATTAAAAACTGAATCCTAAACAAGATGGTGGCACACCTTTAATCCCAGCACTTGGGAGGCAGAGGTGTGTGGGTCTCTGAGTTCAAGGCCAGCCCGGTCTATAAAGCAAATTCCAGGACAGCCAGGGCTGCACAGTGAAACTCTGTCTTGAAAAAATGAACAAAACCCCCAAACAAACAAACAAACAAAAAAATTGAATTTTAGGCCTGGGATGTAGGTTGGCTCAAGGAGTGCTGGCCTAGCCTGTTGGAAGACCCGGCTTCCAACCACAGCACCAGATAGAACAGGTGAGGTGGTACATGCCTGTCATCTCAGCACTGGGGGCACAGGAGGGCTCAAGGTCTTTCTTGGTTACATTGGGAGTTAAGAGGCAGCCCGGGCTACAGGAGACCTGGACTTGAGAAACAGCACACACCAAATTGTTTCCCTCCCTCCCTCCCTCCCTCCCTCTCTCTCTTCCTCCCTCCCTTCCTCTTCCTCCCTCTCTTCCTTCCTTCCTTCCTCTTCCTTTCTCTTTCCTCCCTCCCTTCCTCCTTTCTTCCTTTTTTTTAAACAGCCAACCACACAAACCAGAAAAGGTAGAAAACCTCTCCCTCCTGATAGAGGACTGTAGTGATATTTCATTTGTAATTTTAATAAATAAAGCTTGCCTGAAGATCAGAGAGTAAAACAGTCTCACTGGTCAGCTTTACAGATCAGGGAGTGGTGAGACACACCATTAATCCTAGTAGCCACACTAGTTTGCCATAGTGATGGGAGGTAGTGATGCACACCTTTAATCCCAACCCTAGAGAGGAATATAAAACAGGAGGAGACAGCTCTCACACGAAGTCTCATTCTAAGATTTCCTGGAGGCAGAATCACCATTTCAGACTGAGATAGAGGTAAGAGCCAGTGGCTGACATAAAGAATTGTATACGAGGAACTGTATTAAAGGGTTGCAGCATTAGGAAAGTTCAGGACCATTGTCTTAGAGGGAAACCCAGGCCCCAGCCTACTGTGAGCACCTGAAGAGCCCAAGACTGCTTCTAGAAGGCTTTAGAGACTTCCACGGGGTCAAGCTTCACCCTTCAAATGGCTGGGTGTAGCTGCGAGCCAGGGAAATTGGGTGGTGGACCTGTGCTGGTGGTCCACAGACTCTTCAGTGGAGCTGGGGCTGGCGGTAGGGCTGGCGAGGCCTCCTTGTGAAGTGTTGAAGCCCCGAGGCACTCCCTCCCTAGCCAGTGTCCTCCTGGTTCCTCCCTATCTCCTTCAGTGTCCCACTTCTGTCTACATAAGACGCCTAACACTTCAGGGCTTCCAGTCAGGACTCAGGGACCAGATTGGAGAGGAGGCTGGTCAGGGAAGCCAAGCTGGTCAAGGAGAGGGATTGGGGGCTGTGATCATGGCTTGCCTCTTACAGCCCTCCCTGCCAGCCTGGCCTGAGGTTGCCAGGGATAGACTGAAGGGCCTCCCAGGCCACTGCTGCCCACTGTTGGGGATACACAGGGACCTCTAAAACACCTTCTGTATAAGATGCACACTGGCTCCTCAGCCACTCCCTTTCGTTCCTCGCCTTAAGGTGTGCCAGTCTCCCCAAAGGAGCAATGGATAAGTTCATTTCTGTTGACTGCCCCGCGTCTCAGAGGACTGCCACTAATCTCTGCTTTCTGTGAAGGCTTCGTGGTGTTTGTAAAAGGATTTGAGCTGGATCAGCGCTGACTCCAGCTCAGACAATCCAGTGCTCACCCCTTCCCTGCAGGGGCCGTGCCCTGTGCCTGGGGAGTCCCCTGGAAGCTCCGCCACCATGACGCTGTAAGACAGTGGCCAGTGTCTCTTCATGTGCCCCGGTGCCTTGCACAGACTTATGTGCAACCCAAAGGTACTTGGGAAATCCACTTGTCAAAGTGTCACCTGGAGCACCACCTTGCTCAGCCTGGCTGTCCCCAGGCCCCTGTCAAGACATGGCCTATTAGACAACCTAACCTACCAGCTCATTAGAGTCTTTCTCCAGGCCTGCCCTGAACTCATTGTCCCTGATCCAGCCTTATTACACATTGGGGAAACTGAGACTCCGAGGGCCTGGGGACTGTGCCCACTGTCTCAGCTAATAAAAGAGAAAGCAAGGACTGGCCAAGCAGTGCCTTGAGACTGCTGGCCGTGGCATTCTGCTCCACCAAGGCCCAAGGAACTAGATACCGCTGAAGGACAGCGCAGATCCTAGTAGGGACAAACCTGCTTGGGAGGCAGGAGCCCTGCCCTGTCCCGGCTAACATGGTTGCTCACCTCAGGACAGCCTCCACTTCAGGCAAATGAAGGGCTGACTTCATTTTCCCTCAGATTCTAAATACAAACACCTCTCGACCCCTCCCACCCGTTCTTTGTTCTTTCTACTCTTCAAATGTATGGCACTAGTGCTATCCAGTGCTCACCCCGGAAGAGCAAGATGGAGGGAACAGGGTCACCCACGGTACTGACCGTGGAGGAGGAAGCATAGCGGAAAGGTAGGACATGCCTCATGAGGAGGGTTTGACAATGGCCTCACCCCTGTATCCCCGTCAGCCAGTCTCCAAGCTTTGCCTAAGAGTCGACCTTGCCTTTCTTCGCTAGGACACAGGGCACAATCCTTTGCCTGGGATCTAGAACAGTCCAGAGACAGCGTAGGCCAACCGGGAGTGATGGTGCCCTGTCTGTCCCTGCCTGGGGCCACAGGCCAGAGAAGCAGGTTTCTGTGTGGTCTGGCCCTGCTGAATGCAGGTGTGGGGTCAGCTCTGGGGTCAGCTGACTTCGGCTTGGAGGAGAAACCTTGTCTATAGTGATAGGGATCCCAACTAAGAGCCCAGGCTAGCCTTGACCTTGTGATCCTGTGACCCACAGTGGTGGAACACCTTCTGTCGTGTGAGAGACCTCTTTTCCAAGCGGTCTTCGCACTAACGTTGCCGGCTACCCTGTGGGTCCCGTGCCAGCCTTTGGTCAGCAAGCAACACCGTACCATCTCTGGGAACAAATGATTTATTTTGACTTCCTTTTTAAATGGCGTCAGCATGTCTCCCGAGAACTGTGTGGTTTGAAATTTTCTAGAGAAAAACGGGGAGGAGCGTGCTTTGACAGCGGGTTTTGTGGAGCCCCAGCTTAGCCCTGCTGCCGCCTGCTCTGGAGGAAGAGCGCCTGTCCTGCATGGAGCTCCACCCTGCAGACTGGAAGAGGATAGTGAGCTCTTATTTTAAATCCAGAGCCTGGAG